GGGAGGGAGTGACTAGTGACAGAGAGAGTGATGCGGTGACTAGTGACAGTCACGCCCTCCCTCCCTCTGTCACTAGTCATTCCCTCCCTCTGTCACCAGTTATCCCCTCACTCTGGCACTAGTCACCTCTTCCCTCCCTCACTTTGCCACTCGTCATCTCTTCTCTCCCTTCCCCACTCTGCCACCATTAACCCCTCCCTAACTCTGTCACTAGTCACCCACCCCCTCACTCTGTCACCAGTCACCCCCACTCACTGTGTCTCCCCCTCACTCTGCCACCACTCAACCCCTCCTTCCCTCTCTCTGCCACCAGGTACCCCCTCACTCTGCCACCTGTCACAACCTCCCACACTCTTCCACCTGTCACCTTCTCCCTCATACACTCTGTCACCTGTCACATATGCATTCACATAGACACTATATACAAAAAAAGCACATGTAGTCATCCAGACATGCACAAGTGCATTCACACAGACTCAAATACAAACATGCATTGATACACAGGTCTTCACAATATACACATCCAAAGGAATGCCGTATTATGAGTTATATTTAACATTTATTTAATGCATGTATATTTGGCCTTCAAAGGGCCTGGGATCTAATTTTGCCCGGGGGCCCCAAAGGCTCTCAGTCCGCCCCTGCCGCGATCGCTGGGTTAACGCTCCTCCAGTCTGCCTCGGTATTCAGGCTGTCAGAGCGAGCACATGTGCTGCAAGGACTCCTGATTTGTTATCCCAGTGCTTCTGTGTTCAGTGTGAAGTGCAGGGAGACAGATCAGTGATGATCCTCTTCACCCTGTGTAAAAAAAGATAAATTAAAGTTAAATCCCACCCACCCTTTCCCCTGCTTTAATAAAATTAACCCTTACCTGCCAATGGATTACTGGCTTAATGTTTAACTGTGATCTGATTTTTGTTTAACTCCTGGGGGTTTACGTCTTTTTTTAACCCTCAGGGGTTAAATTTATTTAATTAATTAATTTAAATATTTTAAAATTACATATTTAGCTAGCCGGGGTGGGGAAAGTTAGTTGGGAATTGAGGAATTTGTTGTTAGGCTAGCTAGGAGTTAAAGCGGCATTGTCATGCCGAACTTACCTTTCCTCAATCTCTTCCTCTTCTCCCCCTCTCTCATGATCTGTTCTTCTTTTCTTCCTGTCTTCTTTAGTTTTCTTTAAAATCATAAGACAAAGTATGGACTCTTGGCCTTATGGAGGATTCCTCCGCTTGACCAGCTCTGACCAGCGGAGGAGCAAAGTATGCTTCATTTCCGCTGGTCAGAGCAATTTTCTCATAATTCTTACCTTTCCTCTGTGTTCCGCGATTCTTCCTGTCATTTTACACTAAACTGCCGAATTGCGTTCAAACTGAATGAGAACAGTATGCTCGTTTCTTTTAGAACGCAATTCAGCACTTTATGAATGAATGAAACTCCGATCCTATTAGTGCTGTGGCTGCATCTTGCAGCCGCTTAGTAGATAACTCCCTAATTCCCACGGTATCAGGGAGCTGTCTACTAAAAGGCTGAAAGATCTAAATTGGTCTTTCAGCCACATTTACTAATACTAAGTCAAAATTACTTAGTATTAGTAAATAATATGCCCCTACTCGCTATACCGCGAGTAGGGGCATGTCTGGTAAGCAGTGAGCAGCCTGTGGCCCCCACCCCTAAATGACGAGTGGGGGCCCTAAAGTCCCCCACCCGGCCCCCACCCCTGGGCAGCGGGTGGGGGCCATAATGATAATGAGGGGGGGACCTACTGTCCTCCCCCGCCCCGGCCCCCACCCCTGGGCGGCGGGTGGGGGCCATATAAATAATGGGGGGGACCTACTGTCCTCCCCCCGGCCCCCACCCCTGGGCGGCGGGTGGGGGCCATAATGATAATGAGAGGGACCTACTGTCCTCCCCCCTTGGCCCCCACCCCTGGGCGGCGGGTGGGGGCCAAATGATAATGAGGGGGGGTACCTACTGTCCTCCCCCCCGGCCCCCACCCCTGGGTGGTGGGTGGGGGCCATAAAGATAATGAGGGGGGGGGGACCTAGCCTTGCCCCGCCCTGCAGTTAGGCTAAGAACACTCTGATTGGTGGGTTTATGGAATTATCCCATGCTGTGTAAAATGACAAAGAGCAGTAGGTCCCCCTCCCTCTTTATCTTTATGGACCCCACCTGCCGCGCAGGGGTGGGGGCCGGGGGGGAGAACAGTAGGTCCCCCCCTCATTATCTTTATGGCCCCCACCTGCCGTCCAGGGGTGGGGGCCGGGGAGGGGAGGACGGTAGGTCCCCCCCTCATTATCTTTATGGTCCCCACCCACCGCCCAGGGGTGGGGGCAGGGGGGGGGACGGTAGGTCCCCCCCATTATCTTTATGGCCCCCAGCCCCGCCCAGGGGTGGGGGCCGGAGGGGGTGTAGACAGTAGGTCCCCCCTCATTATCATTATTTACTTTAGGGCCCCCACCCGTCGTTTAGGGGTGGGGGACAATAGTTTTTTTTGTTATTTTTTTTACAGTGAGCAGCCATAGGCTGCTCACTGTTTAGTAGACATGCCCCTACTTGCGGTATAGCGAGTAGGGGCATTGGGGAGATTTTGATCTCCCTTGTGCTATTATGGGGGTCATATTGACCCCCATAGAGTGAGGGTGGGCCTGGGGGGGCTCATGAAGTGGTGGGGAGGACTGCTCCCTGCCGCTTCTATAGTTTCATATTACAAGGAGGGAGTTGCGTGCCGGTAGCTCCCTCCTTGTAATAAACTGTACGAACAAATGAACACTGATACACAGATACACAATGTTTGTTTGTTTGGCTGATATTTCTATTCATTCATTCGTCTGTCTGATAAATGAATGAATAGATGAAATTCCCGTTCGCATGTCCAGGTGTTTCACTGGGCATGTGCGGGAATCTCACAGTTTGTCTTATGTGGGCTGATGACATGTCCCACAGGGACTTCATCTACCCACACAAAGATGGCGGCGCCCTGAATCAAGATCGGGGCAGAAAATAAGGAATACAAAATAGGTAATGTGGGGGCTTAGGGGCATTTGGGGGTGACTAGGGTGTCAGTTAGAGATAGTGGAGGCCGGAGGGGGGTTTAAAAAAAAACTGGATTCAGCATGACAGTGCCGCTTTAACAGTAAAAAGTTTTAAAAAGTTTAAAAAAGTAAAAAATAAAAGTTTTAATAACGTTTAAAAAAATTTAAAAAAATGCCACCCCCGCTTACCCAGTCTAAATAAAAATTAACCCCTTCCCTGCCAGTTGATCACTGCCTACCATGATCAAAATACAAATCACAGTATTATACTGATATCAATTTTTTTTAACCCCTGATGGTTAACTTTTATTTTTTTAACCCTCAGGGGTTCAATTTATTTAATTAATTAATTAATTTAAATATTTTAAAATGTTATATTTAGCTAGCTGGGCTGGGTGTGAGTTAGTGGGAAATTGAGGAATTCACTGTTAGGCTAGTTAGGGATTAACAGTAAAAAAAAAAGTTTATAAAAAATTTTGAAGCGTAAAAAAGTTTGAATAAAATATAAACAAGCTTGAATGTAATAAGTAAAAAAACTTAAAAAAAACTTTAAAAACCCCAACAAAATACATTTTGAAAATTGCTCATTACCACTACACCTGGAACAAACTAGTGAAAAAATTATTCCATGGTAAGGTTCAAAATATGCCTTTTGAAATAACCCAGGGTGCATTCTTTAAACAATGGTATGCATTTGTGGGGTAGTTTGAATAACCAACCAGCTAAACTATTCCAAAATGGAACATGGACACAGCATAAAAATTAAAAGTTTGAAAAAACTGAATGGCTGTGTCTCAAATGTTCCCCTTCAACATCCACATATACCTGGCAAAGGTACATATGGGGGTATTGCTGTACTCAGATGACATAGCTGAGCAACCTATGAAGTATTATACTACCGTAGCACACATAAGGCTTGCAAAATATACCGTGAAAACTCACTTTGTGTGTCAAAAATGCAGAAAAAATGCTTATTACCACAACACATGGTACAAAAAAAATTATCCCATGCTAAGGTTCAAAATATGCCTTTTAGAAAGACCTGGGTTGTATTCTTTAAAAAATGTTATGCATTTGTGGGGTAGTTTGAATAACCAACCAACTAAACTACTCAAAAATGGAACATGGACACAGCGTAAGAATTCAAAGTTTGAAAAAACTGAATGGCTGTGTCTTAAATATGCCCCTTCAACATCCACATATGCATGGCAAAGGTACATACGGGGGTATTCCTGTACTTAGACAACATAGCTAAGCAACATAT